CTATTCCTGCAGAAGAGCAGCGGATGCTGCTCCCCCCACTCCCCAGCTAGGTTGTCCTCCCCTGGCAGGTTGAGGGTGTTCCTGCCTCTGACCCCTTCCCATCCTGAAGTCCCATCTCCAGTAGCTGCGCCTGGTTCATTCCCCGCCCAGTTCAGGGTCCCTCCACAGAGACTGGCTGGGAATGACCTCCCTCTGCGCCACAGCACACAGCCTGGTTCTGGTGTCCTTCCTTCTGCTTCGTGTCCCAGGCTGTCACCTCTAACTTGTAGGCGTCACACTAGAGCTTGCATTTAATTCCTTGAGTGGATTCGCGATGGGCTTTGTACTCAGCTTGTAGGTGAACAAGCAACATGATACTCAGTGCCCTGACGTCTGGAGGGCTCTGCGGCCCCTCGGGCCTCCTGCTGTCCCCTGTGCTGGGTGGGAGAGGACGGATAGACAGACAGTTGGATGACATGGACCCCGGCCACCGCCCCCATCCAGATGTGGCTGGCCCGTCCTCACTCCTGCTGGCTGAGGGGGGCTTCAGAGTTCTTCTTGGGCAGCCCTGCTGTTACCGCCATTGAGGTACCAGTGATAACCAGATGCCCCGATCTGTGTGTGGAAAAATCATGCTGACTTTTACAAAATGATAGTTTTGCTTGCTTACCAAATTAAAAAGAGATGTGTTCAAATAAGAAAGGGCTTTGAGCCTTTAAAAAGTCTTAGGCAAGATAAAAAGTTTAGAAATCTTGGTGGGAGGTGGGTGTGTCCACACCCTTTAGGGACAGTGAGGAACAGAATGGTCCCTGAAAGGAAAAGGAACAGCGGTGAGAGAGGAGAGAGGGGTGGGTAGGGAGATGGCACTCCTGGAGCACACAGTGTAGTAGGGGCCGGACTGTAAAGACAGGCCAGAGCGCAGAGCTGGGAGGGAAAGCCCTAGGGGGGCCTGGAGGCCACGAGGTGGTCTCTGTTCCACTGACAAAAGCCACCAGGTAACAAAGGGTTTTCCATACCCTTTTGAAATCCCAGAGCAATCCTTGAAGCAAGTGGAGGAAGTTTCTAGAAACCACAGAAAAAACTTCAATACCTTAGGACAGCAGTTGGGTGAAGGGAACTCTGACTTCACCCACATAGGACCCGGTGAGAGGATGTTGTGGTCTCCACTTGGCAGGTGGGGAACTCCAGGCTGGGGCCGGGGCGGGCTAAGGTCACCCAACTGGTCATTGGAGAAGCCGGATTTGAGCCCTGTCTGGCTCAGAGTCCATGTCCTTTCCCTACACCAGGAACATAGGGTCCTGTCTAAAAGGCTCTGTGTCACTATGCTCTCTGCTAGAGTCTGGCGAATGAATGAAGCGCCTGATTTTTTTGGGATGGGTTTATGAAATGTCTGTGTCTAGACACATTTTTATCCTTGTCAATGTCCGGTGGCTTCAGCACTATTTTGTGAAAAAATGATCTCTGCTCCATTGCATTGCTTTTGCTCTTTCGTCAAAGCTTTGTTGTCTCAATCTGTGTAGCTCTATTTCCAGTCTCCTGGCCTGTTGATCTATTTGTCTATCACCAATAACACGCTGTCTTGACTACCGTCACTCGGCAGTAAGTCTTATAGTCTCTAGCATGAGTCCTCCAGCACTGCTCCTCGATATTGTGTGGGCTATTCTGGTCTTTTGCTTTTCCATATAGGATTTAGAATCAGCTGCTCTAACTGGCCCAGATTTTAATTGGCATCACACTGACTTTATGAGCTCAAGTTAACAAGTGACATCTTAACAATGGGGGAGGGGGGCTAGCTCTCCGTTTATTTAGTTCTTTAATTTTATTTAGTTCTTTAATTCCATTCCATTCAGAGTTCTGAATGGAGTTTCCTCCAATGGATCTTATACATGTTTTGCTAGACTTATACCTACATATTTCATTTTTTTAAAAAAAGATTTATTCATGCATGCAAGAACTGGGGTACAGCCAGATGTGCGGGAGGATGAGAGGATTCACCAGAGACAGAATGGGGAACAGAACAGGCAGACTGACAAAATACACTGCTGAGGGGAGCAGTAGGCGAGACAGGAGAGGTCTGCTGCGCCGTGTGGGAATCTCCCTGGCTGGCTGGGATAGAACTGCCAGTGCAGAGGCTGTGGACAGCTTCACAGCGCTGCGCTGTACCTCCTGCGCCACCAGGGGAGGCCCTGTATTTAATTTTTGTGGATGATAATATATCCCCAAATGGTATTGCATTTTTAATTTCAACTATCACTTGTTTGTTGCTTATTTATGGAAAGTGATTGACTTTGTGTATTAGCCTTGTCTCCTGCTGCCTTGCTATAATCTTTGTAGCCCAGTTGCTCCCTGAGTTAGGTCTAAACTATGTCCGCTACTTGGGTTGCTCTGAGTGTGGCCTTGAACTTGTAGGGCTCTGTGCCTCTGCCCTTGCATTACCCCACTCACAGCTTCTCTGTCTGTTGGAACCTCGCCCACATGGGTGCAGAGCCCAGCTCCGCTGGGTGGCGGAGCGCCCCAGCGAATCTTCTCTAAGTCTCTTGAGCACATTTGACTCCCTCCTCCGAGACCTCATGGCACTTTGGCCCCCAGCTGGATTCTAGCACCTTTCGTGCCCTGCCCTGCATTGGAGCAGCTTGTTTAGTTCCCCTCAGCTGCATCCTGCCAACTCCCAGGGCAAGGATGGAGACTTACTCATCCGCCTCCAGGGGCCCAGGACCGCGCTGTTCATGTATCAGGAACTCGGCCAAGGGTGGTGAATTCAGTTGGTCATGCTGGGCCTGGGTGAAGCCAGGCCACTGGGAGTTGGCCTTAGGGAACCTCACTGTCTTGTTTGGAGATCCTTGGAGTGTCATGGAATAAAATCCATTGCTGACATCTTGTGGTCCATGTCACCTACCACTCTGGGATGGGAAACGAAATTGGTGTGGGAGGCAGGTCTGTAATGAGCCCTGATTGCTGTCCCCTGGATGGCGGAGGGCCAGAGGATTCTGATCAGCACTGTGTTTTTTTTTCCCCAAAACCTCCTTTGTGTGCTTCAGGCTTTCACACTCTAGCTGCAAGGTCTCAGGAGCATTGCCCTGAGGCCTGCTGCCTCTGTGGTGCCTGTCAGTCCCTTGAGACCCGGCCTTTGTCCGTACTGAGCTGGGTACAGCTTTTTTCCAAGAGTCTGCCACTGCCTCTCCTTCCTTGTCCATGTGCCAGGCTTTTCTGATCAAAAGCTGCCATTCTCCTGAACGCTGATCCTGTTATTCAAAGAGTTGGTGTTGAGGACACTTTATTTTAGGTCTATTAAATTTGATTGGGCTTCACCTTCATTGTTATGTATATCTAGCAGCTTAAGATTAGTTTTAGGGACAAAAACCTCAGTTACTGTATTTTGTGACAAGTTGTGTGACTAATTACTGCTCTGCAGTGCACCGTGAAACTTGTAAGGCACCACACAAACATCAAATCACAACGTGTTTCCTGTTCAGAACCATCTGAGTAAATTGAACATCTGTATTACAGTAATACATGTATTCGTAAGCTGAACATCTTTTATCGATTCACCTTGTTAAGCAGGAAAATAATCCTTGGGGCTTTATAAACTCCTGTAAATTCTAGTAGTTACCATTTTGAAAATGAATTTCATTGAATAAATGAAGGCAGATGTCAAGCATTTAATTGACTCCTCTCTCAGCAGGCTTTGTCAATTTTGGAATATTGTCGAGATGATATAATTTGCCAATGATATGAAACTGACATAGTGGATTAGATGCTATTGGTCTTTGGAGAAGAGGGACTGTCTGTGCAGAGTTAATGTTTAATAATTGGCTAATGTCCTTGTAGACTATAAGAGAGTTTTTTCCTAAAATTCCTCAAAGAACAGAGTATAGGGGAAATGGTGGCAGTATAACCTGATTGACTCACAAAATTTGTTTTAAAAACCTCAGTCTTATATTAAATGTTCAAATGACTTTTGCTTTCTACTCTGTGTTAACTTTTCCCTCCAGGTCTTTAGTTCAAAAGATTTGACTGGCAAGATGCTGCTTTTTATTTTTATTTATTTATTTTTAAAGATTTATTTATTTATACACACAAGAACTGGGGTACAGGCCAGAGGTGTGGGGGGTGAGAGGACTCACCAGAGACAGAGTGGGGAACAGAACAGGCAGACTGACTGAAATACACTGCTGAGGGGAGCAGCGGTTGAGACAGGAGAGGTCTGCTGTGCCATGTGGGTAGCTCCCTGGCCGGGGATTGAACTCATGCTACAGTGGCTGCAGATAGCTTCATAGGTTGCATCTTAACCCCTTGCATCACCAGGGGGTTTTTATTTTGTGACTTCTGGACCCCCCAGGATCGGACATCCTGCTGAAGAAGTGGGTGGTAGGGGGGAGGGATGTCTTTTTTTTTCTGCAGATCCCAGCCCCGAGCCTTCTTCTCCAAGACACCCCCCTTCCCAGTATGATTAATCCCATTCCTGACACCTGACTCCCTCTTCAGCCTTTTGGAAAGAACTTGGACTTGGAGTCCCAATGGCCTAGGCTGGACCCACCTGAGGCTCTCTTAGTTGATTGCCTTCAAGTTCCTTCACCTCTTAGCTTTGTGTCCTCCTCAGAAAAACTCAGGTGACAGTTTCATTGTGAAGTGAAAGAAAATCCTGTCAAAGCAGCCAGGGCCCAGCGCAGGGCCGCCCAGCCCAGCCCGAGGGCCAGGTGAGGAGGATTAATTCCATGCCCTTCAGTGATGCTGGATCCCCTACATATGGGCCGTTCCCAGTGGTGGAGAGTGATGGGCACATCTTTTGACTCAGGGACAGAATGTAAATCTTACCCTCTGAATCTGTCAACTTGGTGTGTAGCCTTTTTGTCCAACAGCGCAGGAACATCAACAGCCAGCACCTGAGAAGCTCCTTCCAGGAGGGAGCGAGCCGTGGCATCCTGGTCAGGACTCACATCTCCCGTCTGCAGCTGCGCAGTGGCTGCGTGTTGCTGATGGCGGCTGCGGTTTGCACGTCATTTTCTCTGACTTTCTCCTAGTTGTGGCCGTTTACATAAAGGCATCCTGGTGGGCTACTGAAGATGTGCTGAGAACCTCTGATCCTGCAAGACAAGGTCTGATAAAGGTGAGGCGCGTGGATGGAAATGCAGTGGCAAAGCAGGTTTTATAAGCTGCCCTGATTGTGATCATGTTAATACATTAAAGCAGCCTCCTCCTGTGTGTGGTGTATTGCTTTGCTAGGTCTGCTGTCACCAAGTACCACAGACTCGGTGGTCTAGACAACAGAAATGTATTGTTTCATGGTCTTGGAAGCTGAAGTCAAGGTGAAGGCAGGATTGGTTTCCCGCTGAGATTTTAGAGGTAGACTCTGCCTCAGGTTTTTCTTGTAGCTTCTGGTAACCTTGGGTACTCCTTGGCTTATAGATGACATGCTCCTGGTGTCTTCCACTTGTCTTCCCCCTGCATGTGTTTGTCTCTGTCCAAATCTCCCCCTTCTATAAGGATGCCAGAGATACTGGGTTAGGGTCCACTATATCAACCTCAGCCTGCCTTGATCACCTGCCAAGAACCTATTTCCAAGTAAGTCACATTAATATGTACTGGGAAGGGGGGTAGGTTAGGATTTAGTCACCGTTTTGGGTAATACAATTCAACCCATAACACCCTGCCGGCATATAAACAGTAATAAATGACTGTATGCGGGCCTCCCTGGTGGCGCAGCGGTTGAGCTCTGGGCAGCGTGCCGGCAGCCTCTGTAGCACTGGTTCGATCCCTGGCTGCTCCCCGGCCACCAGAGGAGGGTCCCACATGGTGTGCAGACCTCTCCTGCCGCCCGCTGCTCCCCTCAGCTGTGTACTTTGTCAGTCTGCCTGTTCTGCTCACTGCTCTGGCTCTGGTGAATTCTCTCAGTACCCAGTGCTTGTATAAATAAGTAAATCTTTTTTAAAAAATAAATAAATGGCTGTATGCAACAGGTACCTGTATCTGGCTATGGGTAAATCTATTTTGTCTTCTGAGCCTCTCAAGTCTTAGTTTTAACATTAATCTCTACTGTCTCTCCAGCATATAGGAAAGTTCTTCTTAGTGTGTTCAAGTAATGTTTACTGGCACATATTCAGAGTCAGACATTGTGTTACCCCAAATATTTTGCAGTGATTACCTAATTTTTGAATCTTCAAGTATTTGTTTTGCTGATGAAGAAATCAAGGCTAAGCTATGTACCTAGTAAGTGATTTAATTGGACACAAATTCTAGTCTCTTTGGCATCAGGCCAGACCATCTTTGAAGCAGTCCTGTGACTTTGTAAAACAGTGGTAAAGCACAGATCTGGGATGACAAATGTGAAGGCAGGTGCCACAGCAGCTCCTCAAAAGTTCAAGAGGCATCCTCCTGGCTCAAGGTTGGTTGGTGCAAAGGCTATGGAGAAGACAGTAACCAGTGGGGAATTTGCACTATTTATTTCACATCTACCTGTTTTCATTTGCTTGGGTTGTTTATTATAATCCCATAGGTGGAGAGAGATGGCATTTCTTGGTAGTCTTGAAATGGTGGCTGTATCCACAGTTGTTCCAATAGGAACCTATAAATTATGAAATATCATTGTTCTGTGGGTTGGTTTGGAGAATTGATAATCCAGGTCTCCCCCTGGTGTTGAGCCATTAGAAAAAAAAATCCGAATTCACATCTGTTTTTTTTTTTTTTTTTGTTGTTGTTGTTCAAACAGTAGCTTCTTTGAGATATAATTCACCTATTACAAATTTCACTCTTAAAGTGTGTGTACAATTCATTAATTCTCAGTACATTCACAAAATTGTACATGGATCACCACTCTCTAATTCCAGGATGTTTTTATCACCACAAATAGATTCCCCTTGCTCCTTAGAAGCCTAAGTGCTCCTTAGAAGCCACCCTTCACTGCCTTCTTTACTCAGCTTCTGGCAATACTAACCTACTTTCTGTCTCTCTGGATTTGCCTGTTCTGGACATTTCACATCAGTGGCATCATATAACATGTGGTCTTTTGTGTCAAGTCCTTTCATCCATGGTGTAGCATATGCTAGCGCTTCATTCATTTTTATAGCTTCATTTATTTTATGGCTGTGGTGTAACTTCCCACTGAATGGGCCTACCACATCTGTTGATTTAACAGGTGATGGACATTTGGGTTATTTCTGCTTCTTGGCTGTTGTGAATTACGCTGCTGTGAACACTGTAGTACAAGGTATATATTGTCAGTTCTCTTGCATAGACACCTGGGAGTAGAATGTCTACTCACTTGGTAACTGTATGTTTAACATGTTGAGCATCTGCCGAACTTATCCTCAGCAACTGCATCATCTTGCATTTTTACTGGCATTGGCTGAGGGTCTCCATCTTGCCATGACTCCCAATGCTTTGTATTGTTTGTCTTGTTTTATGTTATCTTAGTGGGTGGGAATTGGTGTCATTGTGGTTTTGATTTGCCTTTCCCTGATGGCTAAGGATGTTGAGCACATTTTCCTGTGCCATTTGTATATATTCTTTGGGAATGTATCTATCAAAATCCTTGGCCCACTTTTTAATTGGGTTATTTGACTTTTTAACTATTGAGTTGTGAGAGATTTCCATATATTATTGATGCAAGTCTCCTATTATATATATATATATATATATATATATATATATCATTTGCAAGTTTTTTTTCCATTATGTGGGTTGTCTTCATCCCCTCCAGTCTTAATGAGTTGTAATCAACAGATAATATTGTGTAATTTTAAGATGGACCACTCATTGAGTTGATATAATCATATGCTGCAAAATACATGTGTATCAAGCCACTATAACTTTAGCTAACACCCCCTGTATCCAGTCACATAATTACCATTTCTTTTTTTGTGGTAAGAACATTTACCATCTACTATCTTCCAAAGCTTCAGGTATAGTGACCCCTTAGTATTTCTTCTTGCCCCCCACAGATAACCAAATTGAGGGTCCTCAAGTCCCTTATAATTGACTCTCTGTATCTGTGGGTTTTGCATTCTTGAATTCCACTGAAATCTGTGGTTAGTTGAATCTGTGAATGTGGAGCCTTTGGATAGAAAAGAAAATCCACATATAACTGGATCCTTGAAGTTCAAGACTGTTTTTCAAGGGCCCACTGTATACAATGCAGTGCTGTTAAATATAGTCACCGTGCTGGACACCAGATCCCCAGAATGCATTCATCTAAAACTGGAAGTTTGTACACTTTAACTAACATCTTGATCCCTTCTCCACCCCCTGCCATCTTTTTTTTTCTTAAAGATTTATTTATTTATACAAGCACTGGGGTACAGGCCAGAGGTGCGGGAGGGTGAGAGAATTCACCAGAGACAGAGCGGGGAGCAGAACAGGCAGATGGACTGAGAACACTGCTGAGGGGAGCAGCGGGCAAGACAGGAGAGGTCTGCTGTGCCTTGTGGGAATCTCCCTGGCTGGCCGGGAATCAAACCGCGCTGCAGAGGCTGTTGACAGCTTCACAGCGCTGCACTCAACCTGCTGCACCATCTTTTATCCCCTTATAACTATCGCTGTAGTCTCTGTTTCAATGAGTTCAGGTTTTTTGAGTCTACATATGAGATCATCATTTTTTGTCTTTCTCTATTTCACTTAGCATAACACCCTTCTGGTTCATCTATGTTGTTATAAAGGGCAGACTGTTTTCAGATCTAGTTTTATTGGATTTGATAGATTATTTTGAAAAGGATTTTCTTCCAGCAAATTAACAATGGCTGGAAGAAAGATTCAGCATGTGAAGGTGATGAATCAGGTCGGGCTGTCTGGTCTACCTATTTGTATTGACCCTGATCCTTTGGCATGGGTGGACCGGGTTGGCTTTGTGGTTGGGTGTTATGAATGCTAGAAAGCATCGGTTTGCTCTTTAATTTTTTTTTTTTTCCCAGAAGGAGAACGGTCACTATCCTCATGTGTTAATTCTTCTAAGGTGAGATAAGGAAACCCCTAGCTTCTCTGAAAATGTGGCCTCTGTTGTAAACAGAAAGAAACTTGGATGCTCGTCCCACTTAACAGGCGATATTGTGAAGCCTCAACCTACCCCCACTCATTTGAGGGGAAGTTCCCCTCTGTAAGAACTCTGGGTCTTGACTTTTTTCTTTCTATTACATTTTATTTCTTAACCAGCTCTTCTTCACAAAGTACCCAAAGAAAGCATTCTTAATGTTCTTTCTGTTAACATAATTAGTGGTCCTAATTGAGGGATTAGAACTGGATCTTAGTTTTGTGTTTTCAGAAATGTGTCTAAGTCGAAATCACATGTCACACACTCCCCCTCCTTCATGAAATTGGACAAATTAAGTGCTTTTTCTTTTTCTCCTGCCAGTTTTTTGATTGGATATTTCCCTTCTGCCAGATGCAATCTGCTTTTCTCTTCTGGCTTTCTTCTGAACTTTTTGACTTAATAAGTTGAAATCTCTAACCTCCCACATCACACCAGTCAGGTTTTGTGACCAGCTAGTTATTCTGAAAGTCTGAGCTTGCTTTGGCTGCCACTGTCTGAGATACAACATTGTGGTGACTTCTCAGAGTGAAGTTGGTGTGGTTTTCACAAATCTTTTTCTCATCTAAAATTTGGCTCCAGATGAAGGTGAAATATTTTACATTCTGAGCCAATTAATAACTTTACTGGCACTGAACACTTTGTGCCATTTGCTAGGGTGCTGAAAACTGCCTTATTCTTTTATTTTCAGAGCATTTAAAAAGTATACTAGTGCTTTAGAGACCACGTAGGAGTTCTGCCTTCATCGGCGAGGATAGTGAGGCATGAAAGTGTTGTGAATTGCTGAAGAGATTCCTGCTATTACAATCACAAATGATGGTGATGGTGAAAATGCTGCTGCTGCTCTAATGATGACAATGATGATGGCGATGATAATGATGATGATGGTGATGGTGATGATGAGGGTGATGGTGAAGATGATGGTGATGGTGATGATGATGATGGTGAAGATGGTGATCATGAAGATGACAGTGATGTGAAGATGATGGTGATGGTGAAGATGGTGATGGTGAAGATGATGGTGATGTGAAGATGATGGTGATGGTGATGATGGTGATGGTGAAGATGACAGTGATGTGAAGATGATGGTGATGGTGAAGACGGTGATGGTGAAGATGATGGTGATGATGGTGATGGTGATGATGGTGAAGATAATGGTGATGGTGAAGATGATGGTGATGGCGATGATGGTGATGGTGAAGATGATGGTGATGATGATGATGGTGATGGTGAAGATGACAGTGATGTGAAATGATGATGATGGTGAAGATGGTGATGGTAAAGGTGATGGTGATGATCATAATAACAAGGATGACTGTGATAATGATGATGATGACAAAAAATTAAAGTCAAGAATTAAATATAAAGCCAAGTGTTAATATTTATACTAAACTTCCCTTTCCCAAAGTCTCCATTGTAAAGGATGAGGGTGCAGAAGGGCTGGCTGGGCATGAGCAGTGCACTAGCTTAGGACTCAGAAGCCTGTTCTGCAGTTTGGAGCCTTCCTGCCTGTGGGAAAGTCGTGAGACCTAGTTGAAATAGTGCAGGGAAGTCCACAAATGCAATCACCTGCCATCTTGGAGCTCCCATTTTTTTCTCCTGGCAGGTGGTAAAAATTGAATGGCAGCATGTGGTTGGAACTTACAGTCCTGTCAGTGGTGTTGCTGATCTTGGGGTAATGTGTGGATTGTGTGGGACAGCTACTTGCATGATTAAAACATAGTGAGCCTTGAGGCCTTATGATCCTTCAGAATTGGGACCCTGTTCAAAATCCACCACAGTCATTGAAAATCAGTGGCTTTTGGTGTAGCAATTGATCTCCCTGATTATTTACCCTCCTTCTGAGCACTAGAATTATGGAGCCGTTGTTAAAAATGGGGGATTGGATTTATTTCTGGACACATTCTGTGACTCTGTTGAAATGTTTTCCCTGCTCCCTCTGGAGGTAACTTCCTATTTCATTGGCGAGAGATGGATTATTCCCTGTCTGTCTACTTGCATTCCTCGTCTGTGACTGAGGATCCCAGGGGCTCCTTTGGCGCTGCCCCTCGCTCCTGGAGACCTATTGGTGTGAAAGGTCGGGGGTGTGAAAACCTCTTCAAGGAACTATGATTCACATTTTGGCTCTCGAGCACAAGAAGAATCCCATGGCGGTGGAGCCCACACCTGGCCGCAATGTGTGGGTCGATTCCAAGCTCAGAATTTACCACATCTGATTTTCCTCTCTCACTGGGTTGTTCTTTTTTGTTTGTCTTCAAAGGTTCAGTCATTTGGGGAAAGGATTGTGCTTTTCATTCTAAACGTCGTTATTTTTGGAAGATTGGAGAGAAATTTGGATGATGATGACATGTTTTTTTTACCTCACTCTGTGAAGGAGCAGGCTAAAATTCTGTGGAGAGATGGAGCAGCTGTTGGATTTTATACAACCAAAATGAGAGGTAAGGGACGCGTCAGTGTGGAGCCTCCCGCCATCCCAGGCTCTGTGGACTCCCTACCCGCAGGCCTCGCTTGGAGGGAATCTTCTGGCACAGGGAGTATCCCAAATTCAGCTGTCATGTAAACAAACCCAAGGTATGGATTTCATTTTCATCACATTTCTCGTTTCACTGGCGAACGGGGTGAAAAGTGTGCCCCTTTCATTCCCAGGCAGTGCCATGTCCTTCTTAAAATACTTGTTGCAGTTAATGGTGTAAAATGACTTCCTAAGCACAATGATTTTCATTTCTTTTCTTTAATGTTACCAATTAGGTGTCAGGAAAAATACTGTTGCTAATAGCTGACATGTGGTGCGAAGCACACTAGATGCCAAGATTTATAGACATTACCTCAGAGGGGAGGGAGGTCGGCCATGATAACAGGGTTAGGGTAAGAGACTGTGACTTATTTATAAGGACTTATTTTAGCGGTAGCATGGAGTTAGTATCATTTTGCCGAAGGAATTGTTTTTAATAGTTTCTTGAATTTTTAAGGCTGTCAACATCTCTGACCCAACTGGTTCCTGCCTACCTACCACCCTCATTTGGTTTTTATAAAGTTTTGAATTTTTGCAAAAATTAAGTATCTCAGTAAACCACCATGGGGAGGCTGTTCTTTGAGTTAGGTTTTTCTTGGGGGCAGGAAAGAGGTTGGTTGTGTTCCATTTCACTTTTTCAGTTCTTTCATCCTTGGTTTTAGATCGACCAAAGAATCTGGAGAATAATTAACACAGAAGGAAACTTTCTGCAATTCCCTTTTTCTGGAAGATTCTTCCCCCACCATTTCCCACCAACTGCCTGGTCTTACTCTTAACAAAGTCATGTGTCCTACTAACAAGTACAAAGAGTGTGAACCTGATGTTGACAACCACATTTGGGGGACACCAGGTCTCGCTGTTGCTCCAGGTGGCAGTAATACCCGGGTATTTTTTCTGGGGACACAGCAGGCTGGTGGTGACTGCCTCCTCCTTCCCAAGGCATGCCCCAAGCCAGCCTGTGGGCGGAGGACACAAAACTGAGGCTGGCCACTCTGTGCTTGAACCTCCACCTCCTCTTCATTTCCAACAAATTCTATGCAATTGGTGCAAAAGTCTTCTGAAGCTACTTAGTAGATCACAGTGTTTTCATCCATGAACTGAATTATTAGTGTCAAACTTAGTTTGACAAATTATCAAGCCCAGAAAATTAAAAAAAAAAAAAGTTTTCAGGTATACCTTTTTTTTTTTAATTTTTTTTTTTATTTAGAGGCATGTTATTTATTTATTTGTTTGTTTGTTTGTTTGTTTGTTTATACATGCACGGGGTACAGTCAGAAGCGCGGGAGGGTGAGAGAATTCACCAGAGCCAGAGCGGGGAGCAGAGCAAGCAGAAGGACCGAAGTACACTGTTGAGGGGAGCAGCGGGCGGCAGGAGAGGTCTGCGCGCCATGTGGGACCCTCCTCAGGTGGCCGGGGAGCAGCCGGGGATCGAACCGGCACCGCAGAGGTGGCGGGCAGCTTTGCAACCCAGCGCTCAACCGCTGCGCCACCGGGGAGGCCCCAGTTATACCTTTTGAACTTAAATTTTTTTTTTACTTCCTATTTGTGGATCAGCTTATTTTCAGGAAGATAAAATAAAAATATTTCCATGGAATAATTATAGGTCTTTTGCCTCTAGTAATATGTGAGAGTTCCAGTTGCGTCACATGTTTGCCAGTGCTTGTTATTGAAGTCTTCTGATTTTAGCTGTTCTACAAGGTGGGAACTGGCGTTGTGATTGGGCTTAACACTGAGCTTCCTTATCTTATGTGGGTGCCAGTGGAGACAAAAAGACACCCATTTGAGCTGTAAGCAGAGAGCAGTTTATTGGGCTGTACAAAGCAGGAACGAGGTGACCTTTGAGACCAAAATCAGGCTCCCCAACTAGTGTTGTGTGGGTAACACTTTCCCGTTTCTTTGTATGCTTAGTAGTTTTTGGTTGAAAACTGGATGTTGCAGATATAGGGGAGCAACTAGATGTGTGTTTTCTGGTTTTTCTTTTTTTTTTGACTTTTGATCTAGCTCTCAAGGTCTCCCTCAGCCCACAAGCTTGGTGGTCAGACAAAGATTGGGACATGAATGTGGAGCCTTTCTGTGGCTTCTCTGCTTCTGCTGGCTTTGGGCAATGGGTGTTTACCCTTTAGGCCTATTTGGCTTCAGCTTCCTGCCAGTTGAGCTGCCCAACTTGAGAAGTGCCTTTGCTTAGGAAAAGCACCACACTACACACCTGGCTCTGAGTGGTTCTGTCTTCAAGAGCAGGCATCTCTCTGACTTTTTTTTTGTGTTGGGTCTCCTTCACTCAAACGGAGATTAGCTAAAAGCCAGGAACTTGGGCAGTTGTCTGAATTTTAGTCTCTCACTCATTTTATGGTTCTCATGCTTCCAGGACTTTCTTTTTGAATTTACAGCTGCTTGCCTAGTCCTAAAATGTGACCTCTGACACCTTTCACTGATAAGGCTGTGGTTTTCCCACTGATGTAGTCTCGGGGCTGAGTTATACTCCATGGCCAGAAGCCACAAAGGCACAGGCTTTACTGATAACAGTTGTAATTTTCTGAAATTAAACTAACCTCTGGCTTCTACTGGGCTTCTGGATGCCTGCTGGCATCTTTAGGTGGTTTCTTTTTCTTTTTTTTCAATAGTATTATTTCTTTTTTTGTTATTAAATATTTATTTATTTATGCATGCAAGAACTGGGGTACAGGCCAGAGGTTTGGGGAGTGAGAGAATTCACCAGAGACAGAATGGGGAGCAGAACAGGCAGACTGACTGAAGTACACTGCTGAGGGGAGCAGCGGGCGAGTCAGGAAAGGTCTGCTGTGCCATGTGGGTAACTCCCTGGCCGGGGATCGAACTCATGCTGCAGAGGCTGCAGATAGCTTTATAGTGCTGTGCTTAACCCCTTGTGCCACCAGGGAGGCCCAGGTGGTTTCTTAAATAGTGCATTATGGGTGGGAATTTGCATGACCCCTTCATTCTGCTCCCATTGTCAGAGGGGGACAGTGGCCCATAGGTTCTTCTTATTCCTTGCTTACATCTCTTTCTATAAATTGAGAAAGGGACTTATTTTGATGAGTTAAATGGCTGATATGAGCAGCATGCAAATAAATGACACAAAAATTAATTGACACAGTGATGTGTTTTAAAATGTTCTATTATTTTACACATGGTTTAAGGAAAAAAACTGTTGAATGCATCTGGGTGAGTTGACTACAGGAAGAACGTGTCTACTTTAAAAGTCGAGAACAGTCGATGAAGTTTCTTCAGTCTTGGCTCTGTCTGGAGCTTGTCACAGTGTTAAGTGGTGTTGTGTTGATGCCTGGGTGTGGGTGGGGTGCTAGGGCTTGCTTCCTGGCTTCGCAGCAGTCCAATTTCCCTGCAGTAGTTAGATTCATAGGCTGAAGAATATCTGTTAATTTAGTCTTGGTGAGGTTTATAATTCCATTGTGTGAGAAAAAGGAAATGTACAGAATAGTTCCATAAATAACATCCTGGGGTGGGGGCCAGGTTTTACCTATTTAAGAACATACATTGTTTCTTATTGTATTTTTATCACCTTCATTTTTGTGGTGTGTGACTTTGAATTTATTTAAAAAAATTATCAGACGGTAAAATTGACCTTTTTGTGGCCTGACAGGTCTATGACTTTTGACCCATGTATGACTTATAGAACCACAACTAAAACAGTTCCATGTCCAACCCCCTCCCCCCAACTCCTTCACATTATCCCTCATTATTCCCACTGCCATCCCACATCCATAATCCCTGGCATCAAATTGAGTCATAGGGCAAGTTAGGGTAATCAGGTGGCTTCAGGGACAGTGCAGGCAGGGACTTTGGGTGAGTTAAAGAAGCTCCAGAGACAAGGGCAACAGGAAAAACAAGGGAAGATCTAGAGAAAAGGGCAACACATTCCAAAGGGAGCTTGTCAGTCACCCCAGGACTAGAGCAACAAGGGCAACAGGACGTTCCAGATCAAGGATGATAAAAGAAAATTCTGCTAAAAGATAAGGAACGTGATGCAGGAAAATCCCAAGCACAGTAGCAGATTGAGACCACGGAGAAGAAACAGTCACAGAGAGACAGATGGGACTTCAGAATAACGAGGGAAAGAAAGTATTCCCGAAGGAAGACTCCAGAAGGGCTTCTTTGCCCCTCCCAGGTACTTTATACCCTGGGGTCTTGGCTTTTTGCCCTTTTCCCTAAACTTTTCTTTACTCTCTGAGACAAGGCTTGCCTCTCTCTGCATACTTATCTGAAAAGTCTGTGAATTCCTTTTCATGCCTTCCGGAGACAAGAACTCCTGATGATTGATTACCAGGGTGAAAAGCAGCAGCAGCAGCTGTGATCACGGTAGCCGCACACGGGCATCAAAATGATGTGTTCTCCATTTCTAGAGTTTCATCCTTTCTAGAATGTCATGTCAGGGGAACTGAAGTCGGTTTTGCAGATGTAGGGTTCAGAGAGTGGGGTCCTTGGTTTCACTCTGGGAAAAGTTTCCCCAGAGCTCCCCTTTCAGCGGCCCCGGCGAGTTCCCAGGCGAGTTTCTCTACGAGACAGAGGTGTTGGTTATATCCAAAAGGGCGGGTTTATTGTAACAGGATGTGAAGACAAAGGAAGCTTGCACAGTCACAAGCGGGCAGAGAGAGCTGCCCACGGAAGGGACAGGTTTGTTAAAGAGAGGCCTGCATAGCCACAGGCGGGCAGCTAGGGAGGAGAGCGGCCTCTGATGCTTTGCAAGGGGAGAAGGTCAGTGAGGAGAAAAGCCCCTCCTAGGCACAGGTGGGCAGAGGGACTGCTGCCCCTTGCCAATGCAGAAATTGGGCAGTGCTCATTCCTTTGTGGAGTTGTTAACTTTTGTTAATTTTGAATTAACAAAATTTTGAATTAAAATATGCAGAATTAGGGCCTCCCTGGTGGTGCAAAGGGTTAAGCACCACAGTATGA